CGGTAACCCCGCCCCGGAAGCGCTCCCCCGCTCGGCCCTCACTTCCGCTGGGCCGGTGGCAGCGGGCGGCGGCGGCAGCAGGTACCGGCCGGGCCGGGAGCCGGGGCCGGCGGCTGCTGCTCCTCCAGGCGGCCCCGCTGTACAGCCCTCCTCGGTAGCGGGGGCTGCTTAACGGGCCTCGGCCGTGCGCACCCCGGGTCGGGCCTTCCCTCCGACTCCCCACGCCGGCGGGCTTCGCTCCCGGTCGGGCCGGGCCGGGCCGTCCCCTCCCCTTGGGCCTGGGACTTTCCTGCCCCTCCGGCCCGGCTCCCACCCCTGCCCGGGCGCGGCAGTATACGGGGCACCCTCCAGCCAGCAGCCTGGCTCCGGTCCCTACTCCCCGCGCCCCCTCCCCGCCTTCAGCCCGGGGCCGCATCCCACCCCGCGGGCACGACCCGAGCGGGCGCCAGGGCTGCGCCTCTGCCTGTGGCCTCCTGTAGCTCCATCGCCCAGTCCTGCCCTCCCGATCCGTCCCGGGTGGGTGCACGGGGTCAGCCCCAGAGTTTGTCCCCCCCTCTACCCCCCCTGCAGCACCCAGGGGACCGTGTCCTCGCCGGCAGCCAGAGCCACTGGTGGGCAACACGCCTGGTGGGCAGAACCCGTTGGAAGTGCGGGTTTCCTTGCCTGCAGCAGGGGCTGGGGGCAGCTTTGGGGACTGATAAGCTGTTGCTACCGTCGGTGCGTGCTTCTCAGGGCTGCGGGGGTCTGGCCTCTGTGCAGGCACTGCCATGGCTCAGAGCATGGCAAGGCACGATGGGATCCCAAGATCCATGGGAAGAGGTCGGTACCAGGCTCTGCTGAGACAAGGAATAAACTGGGAACAGGGCATGGATCGGACAGGCAGGCACCTGGTCTGATATCCTGTGCTTGCTGCCTCCTCCACGAAGGTTTTAGGGGGGCAAAACCCCAAAGTTTGATAAAAAAGAGTCTGTGAAACAGATTCTGCCTAAAGGAGATGTATTATAGGTGTTCTCTGTCTTCTCTGCAGGTACTTTATATCGTACGGAGCTTGCCAGAGGTATAAAACTTGTCAGGGATGCCGTCCCTGAGTAGCAGTAGGGGATTACGCGGGGTTTTGCTGTCCGCTTTTGCTTGGGGCATGGAATGTTAAATGGGTGCCTCAGATAAGCAGTTGCCTCGATCTGGTTTGCTACCCCCCAGGCCTGGCCATAGGAGCTGTGGGCTGCTTCTCGCATGGCTCAGGCCACTGGACTGAACAGACTTGTCGCTTTGGGACCCCAAGGGGCTTCCCAGAGGTGTTGGTCCTTAATCGGATCAAGCTAGGCTGGGAACTTCGTGGCAGGAGGTATCTGGCCTCAGAGCCATGCAGAGCCTGGCGTTCCTGGGAAGAAAACATCCCCTCTGCCGCGGGAAGCTGTTGGGGCTGATGCTGCATCCTGTTACCTCCAGAACAGGGTCCTCAGCGTCTCTGAGGGCGCTTGGCTGGCGTGGGCTGGCATTTCAGGAGGGACACTGCGGGTGTTATCCGTGCTTGAGGTGATCTCTGAGCTTATGCTGCTTAAAGTCCCCCGCCACGGCTCTCTGGAGCACGATGCTTTGGGCCCTGCAATGTTGGGATCCCCGTGTGCTGCTCTGCCTGGCAGTGTGTGGTACAGGGGATGCCTCAGGACTTTCCTTTGTCTGTTTGTGTGTTTTATTCCCCAATTATTGGTTGATGGGTTGTATCAGTTGCGACTCTTTTTTTCTGCGTACAGCCGCTCTCATGGCCCTTGTGCTATCTGGGTTAATTAAGGGCCAGATGCCGGCGCTTCAGGGTTTCGGATTGCTCAAGCGGCGGTTCAGCAATTGAATTGATCTGTCACGATTTTGGGCACCTTGCTAATGCTGTGGTGAGTTTGGCAAGGCTTTTACCCATGAGTTATTGAAAGGGTGCACCTTAACCTGTTGGTTGATGGGAGATGGACCCTCTTGGAAAGCGTGTCGGTTGGTCAGGAGCAGGTTTGCGAGAGGACACGCTGCCAGCCTGCGGGGTTCACAGACCGTTGTCTGCGCTTGTTACTGCTGTTGATTGGTGGCTCCTATTCTAGAAGGTGCAGGATAATTTGTGCTGCTGGCTGGCTTTGGGCAGTTCCTTTCAGGGGAATGCGGAGGGTATGTTTACAACTTAGGTTTTTATCTTCCCCCACTGGTATCTGTGCTTGCTCCGGGGGTTTTATTCGCCGAGGCCAGGGACGTGCAGTGCTGCTGAGAGATGTGGGGGGCTGTCACCACCTCATGCCTGCCTGGCCTTTTGCGTTGGCTTGAACTTGCTTCATATCAACAGAGAATAGTTGTGTGAAGTCCCCACAGCTTCAATTATCTGTCTCAATATTTAGGGTTTTTTTTCATCTGCCTTCATTTTCTTTAATTGTGCCAACTGGCTGGTTTTACTGATACACCTCAAGTGCTTTATTTGCAGCTGCAAGAGGGTGTGTTGCTTGCTCATAGGAGTTTTCTTTCCCTGCTAACCTTCAGCTGACCCTCTGTTTTCTAGGTGAGCTGTTTCCTAGAAGCTTGCCCTTTGAGTTCCTGCTCCTCTTTGCCTCTCCCTCTGCTTTAGGTGCCAATGTATACCCCCCGATGTGCAGGGGACCTGTGTTTGTGCAGGGCTGGAGTGGATGCATTTCCCTGCATTTGCTTCCTTCCTTCCTTCCTTCCCGCCTGCCTTGGCAGACCCTCCTGAAGACACATGTCAGGCTGGGTAGATTAAAACTTACTGTCAGCCAGTAAACTCCTGTTCTGGGCTGTCACAGAGTCTGTAGAAGGATTGGTGGGGCTATGGTGAGCCCTCTCTCTGTAATAGCTAGAGATCTGGGGTGTCTTGGGCACAGCTAAATGCTCATGTGATGCTTAGATGGCTTGTTCCTCTGGAAGAGTGGCAGCAGCAGCACTTTCCCCGCATCCCTTCCCAGGCAACGGGTCTCTATTGTTAGAAGCTGAAAGACTCCCGTCAGCAGCATCTCAGCCTTCAAGGATGGAGGAATTGGCCTAAAACAGGGCAGTAAAAGTAGCTGAGGGTCGCTAACGAGTTTTCATCTTCCACTTTCCATAAGAGGATACGAGTGGCACCAGTGATGGCTTATTCAGCATTGGTGTTGTCCCTGGGAACCCGCTGGCAGCACCGCCTCGGTGAGAAGCACTGTGCCATGTTTCATGCTATATCTTGGTTTTAGGAGCATCTTATTCACCAGGGACAGCTGAATTCGGGAGCCCACTGGCATGGCAGCCGGGAGGAAGGGACAGTTGAGGTCCACCATGGTATGAACCCGAGGGCCTGAGATCCAGGAGGGGGTTTGCACCACATTGTGCCCATACGGGTGCGTCACCCAGTGGCTCTGAAATGCAGGTCCTGGGAGGAATGCATTGTCCTGCATTCAGCTGTGTGAGCTCAGCTGGAGGAACACCAGGTTCTCCTTCAGCCTCAAAGTGCTTCATGAGCAGCAGAAAACCAGATGCTCCA